AAGCAGTCATTTAGATGCACTAACTAGATTAAGGAGTAACTAGATTACTACTTCTTAATTTGGACATCCCTGTCTAAGAACCAGTCAAATAATGGCCTCTTTAGTCTCTGTAACCTGCCTAGAGCCATCAGACTTTGTCTCCAGTGTCACTGCATCTTGTCACAGAAGTCTGGYCAAATAGTACTCTGGGTTTATATTTACAGGTATAACATTTCACACCTGTGAAAGCAGACTTCTGAGCATTGCAAGACTTCGTTAACGTTTTTTTCAGCATTTGAATTTTTTTTTTCTCTTAATGTTGTAATGTTGAGAGCTTGAAGAAGCTTTCCCATTTGTGTGAGCCATGGCCTCTGTGTGCTACCACCAGGATAGAAAAACACTGATTTCTAATGTCCTGGCATTTTCTAGTTGAAAAGAAACATAAGGCAACTCTTAGGATCTGGTGGTGGATTCATATCAAGTCAGTCTGTGTGATGATTTCAAGTGCCATTCACAGGAGTCGTGCATAGAAGCYATTCATTTTAGATGCAGACCACATTTTCCTAATTCATGTCAAGTTATAGATGGTGCCATGGGTCATATCATGGTACTCTCCTCTTCTGCGTCAATATGTATGATATTTTTTGTTTCAGTGCATCTTGCAAAGTGACTCTTTTATAAAGCGGGAGTTTAAAGCTTCAGTCACTTCATACATTACAGAAGTAGACTGATTAGTGGAATCAGMTTATTCTGCATCCTTAAATGTTCTGTGTATCTCCATTAGTAGTCAGCTACACGGTGTTACCTACCATGTGTATTTAACCTTTTTTTTTATTTAAGGCCTTTGTAATTGTTAGGCATAACACATTTAATAGCATCAGCAGCTGTGCAATGTATAAAACCTGAAGAGTTAGTAGTCCATAGTAAATAAAAACAGAGTCCAAAGCCTGTGGATAAAGCAAATACAGGAAGAGAAGGAAGAAATCTTATTTTTTTTAACAAAATAAAAGTACTTCGCACAATGTACTTCATGCTCAAGAATGAAAGCTCAGTGAGAGCACTGCAGTGCTTGCTTCCATCACAGCACTAATCTGAATAAACTGCTGTCCAAGAGAATTCATATTCATTGTCTAGTGTGAGTGTCAACATAGTAAGGCTCCAGAGCTGCACAGATTTGCACTGCAAAGCAGCTAAGCTTGTACCCTCATGTTACAAACATGTGATGACGAATCTGCCTTAAAATATTCCTCTCTCTGCTGCAGCCAACTCCATGGGTTGTATGACCGGACTCTGCTGTGTCTGAGAGAACCTGTACTGGTGACAGTGTCACCTTCTGCAGGTAAGGAAGGGGTGACTGTCTGGGTGCAGGAAACCTCTTCAGCTGCATCTTCAGCCAAAGCTGCAAATCCTATCAGGTAATTATCAAATGGATGTGGTGATGGGGTAATACCATGGAACTAGGTAGTGAGGACAAGTCAGGGAACCCACAGATTGTTGCAAGATGCTGCTATGCCTTGCGCTGTTGGGCTGTTCTTGTTCTGGTCTGAAGACCATTCCAAGCACATCTGTATCTTTRCTTATTACTGGCCCCTCTGAACTGTACTCCTGCTCTTCCACTGCCTTTTGTGAAATCCCTGGATAAGTCATCTTGTGTTTCTCTCTAGGGCCCACTGGTTTTTAACCACAGCTCCTCAGAAGCTCCAGGAAGTTCAGCAGCCATGAGAATTTTCCTTTGGGGCTGACGGCAGCAGGCAAACACACTGACTCACATTTGATCAACTCCTGCTGTCTGCAGAGWCTGTCTAAATCAGTCAAGCAAAATGAAGTGAGTGACTTTCCGTTTAGCTGGTGTACAGAAGAGCAGAATTATGCACATGCTAGGCTTAAAGGCACAGTTCACAGTCAAAGGTCTTCCTTTCTCATCAACAATTTTCTAGACAAATCTTGTGTGTGACAAATCTTGTGCTCACTCTTTTCTTCTTGTTCTGTTTTTCTCTCTATGCAGTGCAACAGTAATCTTGGTGGGAGATCGCACCATTACAGGCCTGCATCTCTTGAGTAGGTGGGGTTTTTTTTGGATTATTCATTGAAAACAGGTCTGTGATTTTCTTTTTTTTTCCCCTCCACTGAAATACTGTGGATTATATTTATCCTTGCTAGCCAATACATTAAAATATTCACTGTAATRAGGGTTTAAGGAACTGAAAACATCACATTTTGTCTCTCTTAGTGACTAGGTTTCCTTTCAGTATCCCAGCAGGGTCTTTGTCTTCAGTTTTGCTTTATTCTTCCTCCKAAGGACCTCAATTAGGACTTCGTTCCAATCTGCCGTTGTGGGCCAGGTCTGAATTCAAACCTTTGGGGGTTTTGACTTGGATACAGGATTAGCTGCCTGCCTGAGCAGCTTCTGGGGTCTCATTGGCTGCCATGGCCTCAGATGACCCAGGCAGGGTTCACATATTATTAATCAGATTAACAGTGAAATTTCAAATATTAAAGCGCAGCATGACTTTCCAGCACATCTGCCTGTGCATGTACATTTAACAGTCCTAAGCCACCTTCACTGGCAAGAAGTTACTGGGCATAACCAGAAGCCAATGTTCCTGGAAAAATAATGTTTCTGGGTTTCCTCTTCAATACCCCAAAGAATTTTARCCCCCTTGTGAACAGATGGTATTTTTTTTCTTTGAATTTACAACTAAATATTTTTTAAATGGTAAAATTTCTTACACCAGTCAATGCCTATCATTGTTTGTTTGCTTGAGAGTAAAATGCTATATTTCCCTGCTTTCTTTGCAAGTTGAATTTGCAAAATATCCTATTTCAGGGATCAGGCTGGCAACTGGAAACAAATGTATTTGTAAAACAAACCCTAAAATCTGCTGAMTGTGTAATAGAAACATGGAAGCAACATAAGCTGTTCTATCAGAGCATGTGAAAACACTCTAATAACCTCCAGTTCTTCTCAGTTTATGATGTGTTTTAGATTAATTTCCCTTTTGAGTAAAATGTAGGTCTCCTTCCTCTTCATAATATTGAAAAATAATGGGACTAGAGATGAGGCCATTTTTCTAGATGGCCTCAGAATTAGAACAGGGACCTAGAGGGAGATGATGGGTTTTCCTTGTATGGAACAGGTGTATCACAAGGTGTTTGATTCCAGGTAATTTTGAAAATTCAGAATTCAAAACTCCAAGCAAATATKAAAGGCAGCAAAACCATAATTAGCTGCTTTCTGTTTTGCAAAAGCAAACTCATAGATTTAGTACAGAATTGGTAAAAACATCCAACAACCTTACCTATAGATCAACAGAAGCTAGAAGAGATCAAAGYTAAATTTGCATTATTAGACAGGATCAGGAACAGAATGTATAATAGTGCTCATGGGTATTTCTGTTCTCTGTTTAAAAAGAAACCAAATAGTACACTCAGCTCTTATACTTTCATTCCCAAAATAATTAGGAACAYTTTTATATTCAAAATTGCTACTTGAAAATTTTTCGGCCTGTAGGATGATGAGAGATTTAAAACTAAGAGTTCATAAAAGCCACTGATTGACAAGATCTCTAAGCCTCTGATGTTATTATATAACAAATTAGGTAAATCAGCAAACATCAGACTCTTTCACAAGCTTGCTTTAAAAAGATGAAGTTCATAACTTTGGGGACAAAACATTGGTCCTTTGAAGATTGAAACAGATTTTTCTGTCTACTCCGTGATGAAGCAAGAACAAGTAGACACATTTTCCCTGTGGAAATTGTCACAGAAGTTAAGTAGTGGTTAGGGTGTGATTTTGTTACTCATTTTATTTTCAAATATGTTGACTGGATTCTGACCCTCATTAGAACTGCTTGAAGAAAATGTGATTCACCAGCAATATGGTCTTGCCTGAAGAGATGAGATTTCAGAGGTTTTCAGGCGCTGATCTTCAGTACTACTAGGGGATGACACAAAAAGGATTTCCTGGGAATTGTGGTCATCTGCCGGGAGGGAAGGACAGTCTTGGGATTTATTATAGTGACTCACATTCCCTCTGGAACAGACATGAACAAATCGATCCTCATCAATACGTTCTGCACCAACTAAGACACAAATGCTAGGATTGCACARGCAGACCACTTTTAAAATTACCTTAAAAGCAAGCTATGTCATTGACATTGTGTGATTTATACTAGCTGGCTAGTGGGCTTTGGCTGAAATTACCACTCTTCCTCAGTCACAGYGTGCAAAAGAATTGAATGAGTCAGCCTCTGTTCAAAGGAAAATGAAAGGCATTATCCTTCAAAGGACTTCAGATTTGAAACCTTCTCAAAAATCCTCTCAACCTAGGCAGCAGCACAGGGCCTGTAACAATTCCCGGTTCTCTGTAGAGRCAATAGCAGTGTAAGAGCTGGTACCTTAAGGCAAAAAGGGGAATGGCAGTCAGTGTAGTCAGTGCATGTCTTCACTGCCAGCAGGAAGAAGAGAATAGGTAAAGATGCACTATTTTCTTGTACACTTAATTTCTAACCAAGTAACTGGAGCCTGAAGTGTCGTGTTCTTGCATGTRTGTAATTGCTACAGATGGCAAAGCTGCTGACACTCACATCTCCTTGAAATCAATAACCCGGTTCCCATTCCTTTCAGAGGGGGCAGAGGCCAAAGCTGCAAATCCTGTCGGGTAATTATGAATCAAACAGAGTGGCAGTATACAGTAAAGCCCCACATGGCCGTGATTCAGAAAAGCACTCCATGTTCTTTGTTAGGGTAGTAARTCATGTAACAGCAGGACACATTTGCAATCTTCTAAACACTCCTCGAGAAAACTAAACACAATTTTGACTGTGCATGCTTATGTACTCACTGGCTTCATGAAGTTTCTCCACCTTTGAGGATTGTTTGGGGTTTTTTCCTTTACACAAAAAAAAAAAAAAAAACCCAAAAAAACCAAAACCCCAAATCAACTTGCCCAAATCAACTTGTTTCTTATTTTAATATGTTCCAATGTGCGTTTGTTCATTTGTTTCCACAGCTGATCAAGGAGGCAACAGCTGTTGTAAATGAATAATCAGATTGCCCAGTTAATTAATGGTTTTAAATGGACTTGGGTGGGTTTTTTTTTTCCTTTCCTTCTTGTGATTTCATCCATGCTGGTGAAATGGTTAATAAATTCTTAATGAGGAAGAATGTTACACAAATGTCGGGTAAACCAGGTCTTCTTTTACATTCGAAGCATAACATGTAATTAAAATGCACCATGTATAGAACCAGAGCTTCATTTAACTGATCTCAACCTAACCCCTCTGTGCTGAGATGAATATTGCTTTTCCTTTGATGTATCCTGTTGTGTTAAATGCACCACACTGATCTAAAAATGGCAAATTCTGTGGGTGCCCAGGGTTGTTATCAGAGCCAGACGCTGCACGCTTGCAATACATGCCTCCAYACAGCACTTCTACTTAGAAGAAAAAGAAATGTGTAAAATGATCTCACTTGTCCTTTCAAAACWGATTTCTAATCCATTTAATCTATTCCTTGCAAATCAACCACTGAAAATGCAATTTCCCTACTAAAATTGACAATGTATTACTCTTTTTTTTTCTGTAGCATTTCCTGTTTCATCCATATTATGATCATAACCAGGAAATAACAGTACAATATGTAAGGAATTTTTWAAATTAGTTGGAAATAATTACTTTTAATAACTTTAATTCAGGATGCCTTCTTAACATTAAATTTTGAAGCATATAGTTTTTTTTCAAGAGCTTTCCCAAAACTGCATTTCCTTTTAAGAGTGTGATTTTTAAAGATAGAGTGTCATATTTTATAATTACTAACCAAAGGTTAAAATCACGTGAAAACCTTCCTCTGATAACCTCTGCCAAGCAGAACTTTCAAGTAGGGGGGAAAAAAAATCTAAACCAACAATGGAGACCCTGCAGATTTTTAAAACACAACTAAATGTTTACCAGTTTGAAGTGTACATGAACCAAATTTCTTCAATGTGGAATTTTTAAGGAATCATATATTTATGGTAAACTCTCTTTTTTTTAATAAAATAGATGTGTCATCAGCTATCTTTCTGGTGTAAAATTCTGCTGTACTGTGTGTGATGTTACCCACCCTCAGCATACTAAGAATTATTTAGATTCTGTTCACTGTCATAGGAAGAAGGCTATGTAAACTTAGACTTATCATACCAGAGACTCAAAAGCCATGAATGAGTCTTCCTATAAAAAATAATATTTGCTTTAAAATTCATAATGTTTCTGAAAATACTGAATATTAATWTATTTTTAGCCTTCTGTTTCCTGARACTGTAGMACTTTCATTTTCTGTGTTTCAATCTGCAACTCCAAGGAGATGAGTAACTTTTAAAGGGGAAGTGGAGCTTCTTCATTGACCACATAAATGCAAGAGCTGGGCTTTTATGAAAGTTAATTAAATATTATGAAACTCAGGATGAGCCAATCYGAAATGACATGGCTGAGACAGCAGCCCCAGAGCATGAAAAGTACCAGATGCTAACGAGGAGAGTGAAGGGAAGATAAATATTTTGAGCCTTGTCACTGTGTCCCAACAGCCAAGTACCTGCACCCAGAGTTCAGCTTAATTGTTCCAATTTTCCTTGCAGGCACCAGAAGAGGTTTTCTTATATGCACTTGTCTGTGGTGCTGGGCAGAGATTTAGCTTATTTACTGAGGGGAATCTATTTGATGATTTCTACCCACTTACCATGTGTGCTCTCCTCAAAACTTTACTTTTTATTGGGGTTTTTAGATAAAGATTTGGTTTTCATGTGTCTCTGACTCTGAGGTTACGTTTTCTTTAAATATGCTCTTGGCCTGACAATGTGCTCAGCGTATGCAGTAATAAAGGTACATGAGCTTCTGACCTATATTCAGGGGCCAGAGATGTGGATCAAAAAGGGAATGAGCTTTTCCTCTCTTTTGGCAGTGATATCCCAGCTTTGTCATTGCAAATGTTGGAGYAGTGCCTCTGTGACTCAGTAGGTAAGCTCTGCCAACCTATTAGCTGAGTTGTCCAGCATGGACTTTGATTAACTTTGTTCAAATTTAACTTTCTCTTGGAAAACCTAGCTGTTTGTTTTCTGTTGCTKCTGCAGCTGTGGCTAATATCTTGAGATCAACATTATAAAAATGAACAAATAACTTATTGTATTGATACAGATTTTTGTTTGGCATCAGCAATGTATGCATGACTGCCACCAGCAGCTGTAGCAGCCAGATGTGTGTACGTGTGCAGCTCTTCAACCACGTGGGCTTTTGCACAATAAATCCATTAGTGCTGATTGCTTCCCTTTCTCCAAAAGGCCCTGCTTTTTCACTTCGTTTTGCTATCTCTAACTCTAAAGCAGCAAATAGCTTTGAGTAAAACCCTAAAGGGCAGGACATTTGTGAATTATATAATTTAATGCATTAGTCACAAAGCAGCAGACGAATTTGTTAAGGGTTTCTCATGACTTCATTGCCTGCATCTTCTAGATGGAAAATGGATCTTAGTGAGTTGGGAGAGATCTTTTCTTTTTTTGCCTTCAGCCTTCTTATTCTTTTCTGAGTGACAGATACCTTGCCTGTTTTATGGCTAGGAACACATACTGTATGAAAAAGGCACCTGTTTTCCCCCTGRGAGAGACAGAGGGCCTGGAAGCACATATGTTACAGAACATCCTCCTCTCTTGAAGGCAAATTGTAAGTACATTTATGGGGGTCTATAATCTAAARCTTGAACTTTATCTACTTAAACTAGCCTGCAATTTGAAAGTCAACGTTCTCTCACAACAATTGGTATGCTACTTTGGAGTCTGACAACTGAAGGTAGTTAGAGAGAGAAGTGATTTCCCTGTGACCCCAACTGTTTTTTTCATCCCAATGTTTACAAAAGCGTTTGCATATTTACAAAAGCAAAGCTGAACATGGTGATGAAGCTGTTACAACACCTCCCTGCCAGCAGAAGGAGARGTTTTCGCTCCTCTCCATGCTCCTCCTGCTGCTCCATCTCCAGCTCTCCATTCCACCTTCTGCTACCTGTGTGTGTCTAGTAGGGAGCTGGGGCAGTCCTGCTTGCAGTGCAGGGCCAGAAGAGGAGGAAGGAGGACAAGACTGGCACAAGGAAGAAGATACCACCCCTTTTTGCTGGTTCTAAGATCAGCAAGTGCCAAAGCTTCATGTAGCTTCACCCAAAGTTTCACTTTTCCCCTYCCTGAGTGGTTACTCAACGAGTCTTTCACATTGCTACACAATACGGAAAAACATTTTTTTAAGATTTGGGAAATGCATTAGGATGATGATGAAATTTGAAAGCATGTGTTGGGTTTCTCCTCAGGGAAGGGGTTGTCAAAGTTTTTTTCTCAAAACAGACAACCCAAATAAACCCTGAAGCAAGTCAGAATGCAGCTTCTTCATGGGGTTGGTCCTTAAGACAAGGTCCATGAGTCAAGCTCTTACTCATTTCCATGGACATGCCAAGGAGTCTTTTTTGAGGCATGCCCCTTCTAGGCAAATAGCACCATCAGAAATAATTGTAGTGATGCAGCTCTTCCTTCCAAACAAGCCAACATTTGTTAGTTCACTGGGCATTCTTGGCCATGTATTTTGATTAGAGGGCTGAGTCAAGATTCAGTTTACGTCCACAGATTCAGAGGCACCCATGCAACAGACCTTGCTTTTCCCAGAAAACATCTTGCTGCTTTCTCTCCCTCTACGTGTCTCTTCTTAAGCATCTTAGCTTACTATGTTGCATTCCTTTAAATTTTAATTACTGAAATCACTCTTTAGTTATTGGACCTTCTGTTATCTCCACCGTGGTGCTTTTCCCTTAGGAAAAGAGCCCATTCACCTCTTGGCAGATCCCTTCATACCAGCCTGCCTGCCCTGGGTGCTGTTTGCCCACATTTTGCTTTCTACCATGAAGGGTAGTGATCAACTTGTCCAGCAGGGCATAGGAAGCTGGAGAAGCACAAATATAGTCCAGTTACCTACTGAGGGTTTATGTAAGGGTACAAAAGAGTTGGCCCAGGAATCTGGAAATTTTGTGTGAAGCAATGAGTTAAGTATTTCTGGTTCACATGGGCAAATGGAGCAACATTTCAGGAGTCTGCAGCTCATTATCTGCATCTTTGAAGACCAGAGCCTCATGTGCTGAAGAGAAGACCATTGCACATGACTCGTTCCAAAAAATAGCATTATACAAGGACAAAATTCACTCCAGTTTTGGAAGGTTTAATTTCATTTTTGCTTGMCCACACTTGGGGTCAGAGCAATAACTTGTGTCAAAGAGTCCTTGACTCAGGTTCATTCAGGTTCCAGYATGTTGCTGTGTTGATTGGACATTTTTGTTATGCGAACACTAAATGATGTGGAGTACATGCAAAGAAGAGAACTGGTTTGCACTGGGATATGGCCCCATGGTGCTCAGTCATTCCCTCTGTGTCAGCCCCACCTCTGAAGGAAATGGATGCTTTGCTCATGTATGCTCCCTAAAGTGCCAGTGGCTGCATTTTAATGCTACGTTGTTCCCTGCCTTTGCACGAGGTCAGCTTCTCAGGGACTGTCCCACCCCCTGTGCTGCATTTGTACTGGCCCTGCCCCAGCCTGTGCATTGCAGGGCTATTTCTGCTCATTACCAGAGCATGGTTTTCAGAGGCCTCTGAACCACCCTGGGCATCCTTTTCTGCAGGGTGGGGAAAGGCTGCCACTGTCTCCCCTGTTTCCCTGCTCTCTGGGAGCCTCACTAACAGCAGCAAGTGATGGTCTGYTCAAAGGGTGCTTTCACATCTGTCTGTAACAATAGTGACCTGTGACTTGGGACCAGTGCTCTGGAGCTCCAGGAGCTGGGAATGCAAGTGCATGTGTAACATTTCTCTGTGGCACCTTCTCTTTTCCCTGAAAATATCTGCATGTTCTCCACATAATACAGCCCTGGAGCACAGACTTATAGAAAGCAGTTTCCTTTTTCATTTTTAAGTATTTTTTGAGGCCACTTTTTGTTTCTGAAGGAGAAACACTTGGCTTCAAAGAACATATTTAAAACAACATAACTGCTGTGATGATCCTTCATCCACTGGATGTACATAGATATCTTCATTGAGAAAAAATGTACAGAAGATTATTGATGCAATGCAAATCATATTMAAAGATGACCTGTCCTTTCCTTTTGTATTACAAACTGTGTGTTTGCTGRGTAATTTCTCTTTCCATTGACAGGCTCAATATTGCTGCTTGGCTTTCTGCCACTTTTCATTGCTTAACTCCTTTGGATAATTAGCAACTCTTCTGTTTATTAGGCATCTCCACTGGGCACTGTAAAATGTCAGTCTCTCTCCCTCTTTCAGCACTCCTTATACTTAGTGACTAGTTTCTCCTGTCCCTCAGCCTGAAGTGCAGCAAGGTGAGTGTCACAGCATGCAATAGTGCATGGCAGAGGATGTCCTAGTCAGAGGATGACCCCACAACCCACTGCTTCCATTTTTGGGTCCGGATCCCACAGCAGCTCTCAGGCAGGGGAGTGGCCAGGCTGGACACTGTAGGCTTTGCACAGCCCTGGGGATCTACATGCAGGACAGGACATGGGTGAGCCCTAACCGGAGAGACACTCATATAAACCTTTTGAAGAGAAGCAACATTAAAGTGCCAATTTCTGTGTAACATGTTTGTATAATGAAGTTRGAAAGTTACTGAATATGTTTGGGCTTCTAAACTGAATTTACTTAATTTGTCAGGTCAGCTGCTATGAAAGCAGGTTAAATATTCACTGAGACAAAAAAAAACAGCTTTAATAAATGTACCTCTTCTCAGTGAACCTATCCAGCTAGCTTAAAGTAGTACAGGTATCAAAAAGCAGGGGTAACAAGTAGAAATTTATTCTTTTGTGGGTCCCAGTAGATGTCAACAAACCTGTCATTATTTCCATGATACTGTTATCTATACCATAAGTGGCATCTACGCTCACACACTGCCTAAACTGGGGAGATGGAAGAGAAGAGGGTTTTCCTTAGGACATCTAGACTTAAAAATGGGAATTCMATCCTTGAGCAAGAAAGAGATAAGGTAGGATTTTTTTCAGGTATGTTTCAGAGTCTGGGGTGCCTGGGACCTCCATTTATCTGCCAGTGGATAAAAGGGGCTGCAGGAGTCACTGCCAGAGCCATGCCTACTGAGTGTGTGGCTGTCACACAGCCAAAGCTCCTGCAGCCTGGGGGCTCTGCAGCTCCTCACTCCCCTTGATCTCCAAGACTCAATATTACAAAGTGACAGACTTAGTCTCCCCATGCCGAAATCTCTCAGCCACCATGGAAATTAACTGAAGTGGAAAGTTCTAGACACTTTCCAAGAGCCACCTGACACTCTGCAAGCTGAAGCTGTAGCAGTTTGTCATTTATTTATCTTTCATTTGCATGCTGGCCCTCTTGCTGAACGATGCCTGGTGCATGCTTACACTAAAGGCTCCCTGGATGACTCCAGCATTCAGGTRTGGTGATGACACCTCAGTCTGTGTGAAGGTGCACCTGTGTGGTGAGTTTATGGTCTGCAAAACTCTCTTTCTCTCTCTCTCCTTCTGAAGGGCTGAGGCCAAACTGCCAAGTGCTGCTTCTGYGCTGTGGGCTGTCAAATAAAGGTGAAGAGGCAAGCTAGAATTTACACGAAAATCTGATAAATGAGGAAGGAAGCGAAAAAGAGCAAGAAAACCTAACTGCCTGCATACTGTAATTTGTCACTGCCATTCTTATGTTCTCTTCAGACCACTGAACCCTTTTAAAAGAATAGAGGTACAGCTTATGATATCTGATGCTAGACACAAACTGGAAAGTTTGGAAACTGAATCTCAGGACCTGTGCCTACTGAAGTCTGACTAATGTTTTGTGTCTTTGTTACGTTGACTTGATCTCTGGTTCAAATTACAGCTCAGAAACTGAGACCATAAAGAGATAAAAGAGAAGTTTATCCTTATCAGACATAACCTTTGCATCCCTTGTGCCTAATCTCTCTCTGGGTGAATTGGCATAGCTTGGCAGGACATGAGTGAAAAAGGAAATATTTCCAGATATTTTACCTATACAAGAACCATTCTTGCTCAACTTACCCTGCTTTTGTTTTCCTTTTATTTTCTACCAATATTTGCAAAAGGTGTTTCCTTTTGACAACATTTCAGGGAGACTGTGTTTCATTKACCAGTTTTATGTAAACTCACTATATAGCAGAAAAAAATGCATATGATTTAACCAACAAGTCACGTGCAACAAATAACGAATTATGGATAGTAGAAGCCCAAAGAGAAGTCACAAGCCTAATGCAGCATTTAAATCCTGTTTGCAACATCAAACCAATGTGCTTAGATTCAGTTCTTTGCATATTTKCCAATAAACTGGCAACCTTTTTGGTTTCTGTGAGCCAGAAAGGAGTGTCACTGGTTTTCCTTTGCTAGTTCTTGCTTTCCATATCTTGCTTTCCGACCTAYTAAAATAAAAGRAAAAAAATAGGAAAACATGAGAGACAAAGAATCAATAAATGTCTTTTAGGTGAAACTTTAAAAAGGGCAGTCATTGGCCAACACGCAGACACCACCACAGCTGCCAGGAATTGCCAACATTGCTGAAAGGTTGAACCCAGACAATAAGTAGCAGGTGCCTGTGAGGCACATGTGCTGCAGCCCCTCTGCCCCCATCTATGTGACCCCTGTACCTGAATGAGGCACTTTAAAGGCCCTGCTTATATTGTGCTTGTCTTGTGGTTAAATGCACAGCTTTTCTTTCCAAAATCCTCATTTTGGCATTTCTCACAAGTGTTGCAATCACATATATTAATTTCATATGTGAGCATGGGTGGAAGAAACAAAGCACGTTCTGATTAATGGCTGTAGAGATTGAGGCTTGGAGTAAAAGTATCACTGCARAATTAGTTATAACCCTACTTTGGGACCAAGACTGTATCTCTTATGGATAAAGCAGTCAGCCAAAATTGCTGCTTGCTTTTGTAACTTCTGGCACAGAAATTGGTATGATATTGATCTAACACAATCTTTTCTCTTCAGGATCACAGAGCTCAGGATCTGCTCTACACATACCAGTCCCTGTCTCTCTGGCCCCAGAGGCAGAGCTGGCTGATGCAGGGAGTACATTTAAAGCAAAAGCAGGGAGACAGAGCAGTCTGGCATTGCTCCTGGACTGTACTGTGTCCCTGATTACCTCCTCTGCAGATTGGCTATCAAGCCAAACTCTCTGCTATCCCTTTTTCCCAGTCCCTTCATTTCCAGCTAGTTTCACTGCCTGCTCTTTCTCTTGTSCTTTGTTCATTGTTTATCCCCTTCAGCTTTGGTTTCCTTTCCTCCCCCAGATAAAATTGTGATGGTCTGTTTTTTCCTCCCTCCTTCTACTTTTTGCTAGTAGATCAATCTGCACTGGAGGCACCTTGCACCACAGACTGCCTTACTGCCCACCACACAAACGTCCCATTGCAATCTGAGCCCTCTTGGTGTTGCTTAGCCAGCCCATCYGCTGTATAAGGAGAGCACTGCCCTCTCCCCTGCGGATGTAACAAAATGATTTTGGCCCTACTGTCTCTGAAGGCCTAGCTGAAATCACATTTCACATGAGAGCTGCCTGATGATGTGCATTGTCTGTGACAATCTCCCTTAAGTCTACACCTCTCTCGTTTACCCTCTCGCTCTTCTGCAGCTCCATGGCTTTTCCACACTACAGGTCCAAGAGCCAGTGGAGCCATGGTACTGTGTATTTTCTTGTCCATGCCTTTACAGGCCTGGTGGAAGCCTCAGGATTAGTTTCCTCACACTCCTAGGACTGGTGATGCTGAAGTGGCACAGGTGAAGCAGGAAGAGCAACTCTGTTTCTCACAAGCGAGCAGAGCTGTCAGAGGCTGGTGGCCTCTTTCTCTTGCTTGTGAGGCTGTTGCCTGCTGCCTCCTCCCTTCCCTGAGGTGAGGGAGCTGCRTTTCTCCTCCAACAGCCCCGGCCGGCCCAGCTTGCCAGAGTAGCTCCGGGAGACACGGGCTGGCAACGCCTTCCCTGGACCTGCGAGCTGCAGGGCTGCCACTGCCTCTTGCCACCCAGCACCACGTGGGCTGCTGCTCATTCCCAGTCTGCAGCCTTCTGGCCACCACATGGGCTCCAGTGAGAATTCCCAGGCTTGCTCTGGAGCCTGACGTCAGCCTGTGCTGAGGAGACCTGGAAGCTGCCCCAGAGGCATCAGCCACACTTGGAGGGGTCTCACCCACTCACGCTCAGGAAGATGAAGCAGAATGCTTGCAATTCCCATGTGTTCCATTGGACATTCCATGTCCATTTAGTCAACCTAGACAATGTTTTCCTGTTAACACTGTGTTAATTTGTTGGGGTTTTGGGAGGTCTTATGGCAAAGAAGAATGCTGGGAATGGGTCTGGAAGGGATGGTCCCAGAGAGTTGATGCTTGTGTAGGAAAGGCAGAGAGATGTCTCCTTGCCTTAGGCCCTTTACAAAGCCCCTTCTTGTCCTTTGCAGGGACCTTGTCCCAACTGCCACCCTGCCCCTGCAGGCAGCTGCCTGCCTCTTGGTGTTACTCAGGAATCATTGTCACTTCTCCTCCCTCATTGTGAAGAGATTTGTGGGGAATTTTGAAAGTCTTCTGGAACCTCTGTTTGCCAAAGCAGCTCCTCCTACTCTCTGCTTCAGTCTAGCCAGCAGCMAGAGGTTGCCACAGGAAATTATGTGGGCACCTCTGCCACATGGTTAATCTATATGATTCTTTGCAGGGCAGAGTCTCATCCCTGAGCTCTCTATGCAACCTGTTTTAAGCCCTGGCTCAGAGCAGACAGCAACCCATGAAGGTGTCTGCTAACAGAAAAGCTACGGGGAAGTGAGTCTGGGTGTTATCTATAAGGACAGGCATTTTTGTCAGCAAACCATGTTCTGTGTGCAGCATTCATTTTCACTCACGACATGATGTCACTCAGCCTGTGGCCTCACTTGGCAGTGTAGGAAAATGAGTACTTTTGGTCGGTACTAGTCAGCTGATCCATTCMTATTTGGAGGAAAATTTCATGCTGGAAAATGAGTGTGTAGTTAGCTGACAGAAAGGAAACAAAGGCAAAATTTTTCTCTACTACGCAGAGTGTTTTTGTTTTTTTAAAATGATGCAATTATAATGAGCCCGATTCATTAACTCTCTTTTAAAATTCACACACCTTCAGAGATAACAATCTACATTTTAATTCCATTTCTAAGTGCCTTGGTTTGACCTGTTTTGCTAGAAATAGTAATCCTGCTCATGAATACCATCTGCCCATTCAGACTGCTCGTGTACCAAATAATATCTTCAAGGCTGGAGCTTACGGCTTTAACTATCACATGATACACAGTCCCATGCCTCTTAATCAGAGCATCAAGTGATTTTTTCAATGTGCTTTTTTATTTCCTGCCACAGCCTGCCCTCTCAGAAGTTTCCAACAGCTCAAGGCAGCCAGAATTCATTCTTGGGGCTGTCTGCTTTCTGACTGACAATGCTGTTATAAGCAGCACCTTTTCTGCTGCATTTGTTTTTCTCCCTATAAACTTCTCCTTGTAAACCTKGTCTAGTGAAAGACCACTTTAGCAGGGGCTGGAACTGGATGATCTTTAGGGTCTGTTCCAACCCAAGCCAYTCTRTGATTCCCACACTRTCYAATGAAGCACATAATCCTGCAATGAGTGCAGCAAGATCTTCTCTGGCTCCAAAACCTGCTTTAAGAAAGAAGGTCACTTATTTGTACCCCACCTTGCCCAATAGGGCCCTGAACCAAGGCCAGACCTCAGGCAGTTCTGCGGTGTGAATGTAACAGATTGACAAGATTGCATGAGTAACACTACATGTTTCCATGTCACACTGCTACAGAAAAGCTCAGCCTGTAATGTATTTGGCAACAGGCTTTTTTGTGTTTATGCGGCCATGATCTGAAAACAGCSTCTCGTAGGTAAGCCATGTGTCCATCGGTACAGCACTCAATGCTTACTCCAAGTTTGCTTTTAAGACAAGCAGCCACACTGATTTAGACAAATTCATTTAGCCAGGTTTTCTGCTGGAAATGTAACTAGACCTAGTTACCTAAAATTCGATCCAATCACCAGCCTTTTAATCTGGCATTTTTGTGTTTTATTCTTTAAAGTTCTTACAATCCTGTAAGCTAAGGAAGCATGTCACTCACTCTTTCCTAGGGCACATGCAGAGCAAAACTACTGAGGAAAATTTTGAAAAGCTTAATGTTGATCTCCTGACTTGTAGCCTGTGACTACAATCACAAGACCATCTTTTCTCCTGTTTTAGTAGTAAAAAGTAGCAACAAAAACCAGAGAGAAATGAGACAAAAACATCTCTCTTTTGTTGGAAAGCATTTAAATATTAAGGATGTGTTAAGAAAGGGAACTTTCTTAGCATGTCCTTTCAAAATTACTATCACCCTGAATGTTGGTGCAAGGTTTGATYCTGGCCATGTTATTGCATTGACAGACTCCATCTGTGTCTGAGCTGCCTGTGTTTCTCTCACAGCCACACAAGCAGAATGTGGGAGCTGTTACACTGTACAAGGGTCTGGAGCGTGGCTGTTGTGAGARCAGTGGAGCACAGAGCCCAAGATACCATTCCCAGCCTTTCTCTTAAATTACATTCTGCRTTTTTGTGTTTTAGGTGGAACATTATGCTGGAGCTGAAGAAGCAGAACCCCCCGGGATGAGTCATTTGTATATCCTGTGATTGTGGTTTTGTTTACCATCCTGCCAAGAAAGAGTCCTTTGAAGKATGACTAAAAATTGTTGTATGTTGCTGCTAAAAGAACATCAGCTGTCTAGATTAGTGTTATCTCCTAATTTTTGTAATCATTCTCATTCATCTCTTAGAGATTTTGTGTTAACAGGAACAGGCATCTGGCTTTTTTAAAGGGCCTAGCATTGCTCAGTGGGTGGGACAGCAACAGTGCTACTGAGGTGATGCTTCTGGTGACATCCAAAGTACTWGAGCAGGATGTCCTGAGCATGTTCAGAACAATTAGAATGTGTTAAAGCAGCTGGTATGTGGAGTGCCCACCACAGGAGAGAGCCTCTGGTCTCCAGCATCACTTTGTGAAAAATATTCGAGAACTGACCCAGTAAGTCATCATTGGTGTAAACAAAACTGATCTCCTTGCACACTGCAGAGACATTATACCAGATGCAAGGGTCTTTCTTCTGTCTCCATGGTGTCCATACCAGTTCTGTCCATAGTCATGGTCACTTGGACACCAGCCCCAGACACCTGAAGCAGTAGCTTTTCCTAAGTTTTCCAAGAGAGGCCCTATTGTACAGTGGCAGAGGATGGGGTACATAAACTGCTGGGCTGCTCCACTCAGTCCCCCAGTGCCAACACCAGTTTAAAGTTCTTTTCTTAGAAGACAAATGAAGATGATGATCAGTTTTCATTTCATACTGATAATGAATAGCTGAGAGATGTCTAAGTTCATTTCAGGACATGACAGAACTGTGTATGCAGAGACAAACTCTCAAAGTCAGTTCCAAAAATTCACAATGTTGTCATCAGAAACCTTCTAGCAACAGCCTGCCAGGATACCTCCATGCTGCACCTGAAACAATTCCTTTGACCTCCTTTAGATCCAGACTCTGACCAAAAACTGATGTTCTTGGGTCTCAAAATGAATAATAGCAACTGCAGAACTGCTGGGTGGAGAAATGAGTGTATCTGTGTCTTCATCAAGGGTTTGGCCCCACTGCACCACAGCTCTGCCAGTTTCAAAAGGATCACAGTGGTGGCCATCTGGAAATTTCTATTTTATCTTAGGCAGTATCGCCCAGACAGTGGCTTGTGGCTGAGAGATCTGCAGTGGGCATTGCTGCAGGGTTTGGATSCAGAGGTGAATGGTACAGCAGCACTCCTGGAAATGCTGATAGATGAGCTCYCCAAGAAACCTCAACAGGAACTTAGTCTGATCCTCTTCCCCAGCRAGTCCTGAGGAACCAYAACTTCACCCAATCTGTGGTGAAGMAGATGTGAGAGAGCCATTGTGCATAGGGTTGGGGCATGAATATCACATGAGGGGATGCACTGCATGCAATAATGGTCCATGTAATCTCTTTCCATGGAACTACACTGGAGCTATTGTTGCCATCTTGCTGAGCATCTGACTGAACATCTACAGCAAACACTGGTGAGAATTGTTTTTGACCACTTCTGTAACCACAGTAATTTTACTTGTGCTTTCAATTAACTCTCTAATCAGGATGAAAGTTAGTAGAAATTGCCATATTTTGTAACCAATAATTGACACCATGTTTTCCTCAGGAAATGAGCTGGAAATCATGAGCTAAGTAAAAGTTGTTTAGAGATRCAATCACAAAGGGTGTAATGTCCCAGTCAGGAAATGAAGAGAGTCTAGTAGCTGGTCAGGTAACAATAATTTTATAATGTGATRTTTGCAATGGGTACTTTTTAAAGACAAATCTGTAATAGACAGAGCTAGCCAAATACCTAGTGCAATAAAGACTGATGAGCTATGTGATATTTTGCACTTTAATAATGTTTTGKTATATAGTCACAACTTCATTTAAAATGGATATTACATACTTTCTGTTTTCTGTGTTTGTACTTACTATGTTTTCATTGTCAGTGTAAAATGCCTCAAAAGAAAATCCCAAATACCCCAGACTGTGAAGTATACACAGTGCTAAGCTGAGCYAGCAAGAACATCCTGCAACTAAAAAAGGAAAGAACAATCTTCCGTGAATCAGGAATAACAAAAAAAGCAAGAGATGTGATCATTATATTAAGCCATGCAGCCAGTTACACTAAGTGCTAATCAATAGAGACAGATTTAGAAACAAGCGTAAGTCCTTTCCAGTAACAGAAGTAAGCAGGGGGCTCAGAAATAGCATAGCAACAAACCTGCTCTGCCTGGAGAAAGCCATTTCCATCACWCAGTCTCCACTGCCATCAGCTGTGACACACGCAGGCCCTGGAAATGGTACTGCCTCAGCACTGAGTGCMTGCAGCATTGAGGCTTTTCTGCTCCCAAATGGCACACGCTTGCCTTCTTGTCWGAGCAGAAATGTCTGTTTGAAATGTATCACGGTAAGATTTATGTCCTACCTGGACTGGAGTCAGCAAGTGACAAATTGACTTGGTACAACGTGCATAAAGATTTGTTAGCCTGACGCTCTCACTCCCTGCCAGAAGAGCCTTTTCAGACTTTCAAGTGCTGGCGACTCCCCGACCTACATCAAGTGCTTGTGTTTGCCTTCCAGTGTGGTGGTCATGTGCTCAGGGCGAGCAGGATCTAAACTCGACCCTGGCTTTGGACCTCTGCACTCCTGCTCAGCATGTGTCCCCTCTGCCCACAACAGGCACCTACCTGAGCAAAGACACCCCTGTCCCCAGCCCCATACAGCTGCCCTGGGGCTCCCCAGCAGCCTAAATCCCATAGGTTGGGGATAGCTTGACAAGTTAGAATGAAAAAGKCTCGCACAAGTTTCTGACAGACATGTGCCTTGCTTGGACAGCACATGACATGCACAGCTCTAGGTTACTCTCACAGCCCACTTCATCCTCATGAATCTGGGTTTTCTTTGGCTCAGAGCCATCCTTAAGTGAGCCCAGAGGAGTGATTTTCCCTCTTCAGTTTAAGGCCTTGGCTTCTTTTACCTTCAGTGGTGAGGAGTGGGCAGAGGCATTTTCAGAGACCAGTTCACCCCAAATATGCATACCTGATGGAGGGACTGAGTTGCTTTCTGGAAGTTTCTATCTCTCCCTACCTCCCTGCTATATAAGAATTTTGGTTTTGACCACATGTCTAATTTATTGTAGGGAGAAGTTAGGTAAGAAGAAGATCGATCTCCTTTTACCTAGTGCAGATGTCCAACTTCCAAGCAAAACTCTAAATACCATCAAAATATTTACAAATGTTGAGATAGATGTGCAAGCAGATTTCCTAGTTGCCTTGTGACATGAAGGTACCACAGCAGCAAAGCAGGAATTGTCTCTGTGTCAGACAGTATTTTGTTATAGTATTTCATAGTCTCCTGTGCTGCATTTTGTCCCCTTGAAATTGAGAAGAAGTTTTCTCTTGGTGTAAGAATAGAAAGGACTTTTACATCTGGAGAATTGCCAAGAGCTTRCCAAAGCTGAGAAGTCAAATTAAATAGTTATTACATGTTTTCAGCACTGGCGGTGATCTGTGCTTTCTTCCTTCATAYCAGCTGCTCCTTGTAAAGAGACAACTAAAATTTTTGAGTAAAYCCTCTGAAGTTAAGGTGGTGTAGGTCTGGTGACTATAAATACAGACTCAAGCATGACAGAACTGCACTTAGGCAGGATCTGTACTGTTTGACTCTGATGAACTTTGCCTTCATGGTGAGGTTTAAGAGATGGGCATACAAACTGAAATCGAAATGGATGGCACTGCCCTTCATCTTGCAGGTACATGTCCCCCTCCTCCCTTGTGTTGGCAAAGTACTCGTGATTATGCCATCAAAGAGGTCAGCAAGCTGATCYAGTTGAAAACTTGCCCTAGAAAAACAGCAGATTGTTTTTCAGCTGGGTCAGTGGGCTGATCCAGCTGACTGCAAGATCAGACAAGCATGACCACTCCTATTCCAGCACTTGGGCTCAGTGAAGCTGTGCCCTGAGATGTATCTGTGACTATACAGAACATAAAAAACCTAATATGCCCAGTGAGTATTTGAGGCAAATCCCAAGTCCATATCGCATTGACAGGAGAAGCCATAAAGATATTTCAGAGACTAATAGGTAGATCAGYATGGGGATATGTATCAGGAAAGCTCAAAGAAGCAGTCTCAACCATAAACTCTTGATAAAACCCAGAAATATTACATTGGCAGTTTCAGAGAGGTGCATCAAAGAACAGTGTCTTTAGTAGTTTTGGAACAGCAACAAATTCACAGTGCTGAGGAAGATCACTGTCCTAAAGGTTTTGTGGCTCTCAATGCCTTCAAAGAGAGCTGTGAGCTGAAACCTGCACATGAGTATTAGCTGTAGGAGAGTTGGTGCCTACGCAGTTAGGATCACTCACATTCAGATCAAGTAATTTGATCTTTTAGGACAAATATAATTTCTTTAGTGTGACTAGATTAAGGGGATCCTGGCCTTGCTGTCCTTGCCGCTGGAAATTCAAAAAGAGACATCTAAAACTGCAGACTCTTTAATGTATACGTAGACTTTGAATTGCATGGTTTGATCACCCTTTTTTTAATTTTTTTAGTGTTGAACTTGGAGAAATTACACCCGTTGGAGACCAGAAACAATTTTTGCAGATCAGCTCAGATTGCTTATTAAAAATCTTTTTGGCAGAACAGGACAGAGGTTTGAATTTTTCACTTGCCGTCTCAGTTCATGAATATAGCCTTAAGGCCAAACTGTTCCCTCTTTATAAGCCTGTATACAATACCCAAGCAAACACAAAGGAATGGCATACTGGAAAGCTTTTAGACTCTTGCACCACTTAGCACAATCTTTTTAGCTGTCTGCATTGTTTACTCATCCTCCTGCACCACTGACAGTAAAAGCCTGCAGGAATTCCTTTTCTTTCCCTCCTTTCCTATGTTTTTTCCTCCAGCAGCACTGCAGACACACCAGCATAACCAACTCAAAGAAAAACAAACCAAGGCGACTTTCAAATTCCAAACCTCTGCAGGACAGGCTGCTTGTGTGAAGCTGAAAGGGAGCCAGAGCATACCAGCAAGCTGTGATTTCATCCAGCAGTCTGACAGAAAATYCAAGGTTCCACTGCAGCAGTTTGTGCAGATGCAGCAGCCTCCCTCTGACTGGGTCCATGGCAAATGCTAACAGAGGAAAGCCCAGGARGAGGATTCCCATGTAATTCTGTGTTGCTGCCCCTTTGCTTTTTAATAGCAACTCTGAGGAAACCAGGTATGCTCTACAGGTTTTTGAACAGTTTTTATTCCTTATTATGATGTCTGATTTCTAAGGGAAAGGGAAGCTGCAAGAAAATGGGGAAGATTGTTGRGAAAAAGAAAGCTCCCCAGGGAGGACCATTTCTCTTGCCATGGAGTGGTGGTAGGGGTGTGTGAGGATGTGCAGGAAAATTAGCCCCAGTGGAGGTGGCTGGGGCATTTGGTTGGGGTGCAGGTTAGCAGGGAAGTCTCTGGYGAGGTCTGGTGTGAGGACTCAGGGATGATTAGCACCTGAGTAACACATGTTTTGTGTTTGTCTGGGGACTGGTGTTTGTGATTTGGCATCTGTGCATCAGCTTGTATGCCACGTCAGCAGGCAGGGGAGAAACACTGTTCAGGTGGGCCAGAAGGTTTAGGATAGTTTTTGCTGGTTTGGGGAAACACTAAAGATTGTATCAAACCCATTTGCACCAGGGTGACTGTGGAATGACTGCAGAAAGCAGTGGAGTAATGCTGACAAAACTGTGAACAGGATTTTGCCTTATACTGTGAAAATGAGAAGATTTGGCAGAGGGCCTGGGTGGGTGCTGGGAGCTCTGAATGTATAAATGCATATGTTTCTGAAAARGTCTGTGCTGGTTGCTGGATAGATGTCTGAAGTCCTACAAGCATGCATCACCCTTCACAGGAAACAAAGTGRCTGCTGCACTTCAGACAGCCTACCCACTGAATTATTCAATGCAAATAAATAACTACAGAGCTCCAAMAGGATGCATAAAACTGCAAAGCTAGCTAGCTCCCTTCACTTGAATCAATGGCATTTTCTCTTTCTGATCACTACAATATAGCAGTAAATCCATGTCTTGGAGCAATGCTTGGAGAATGAACTGAAAACATAGCAAGACGTGCATGGAGGTGAGCTGATAGAACWGTAAAAAAGGTTCTGGCTGAGGAACAGACTCTTGCTCATTGTGAGAAAGTCACAGTGTCTGCAATAAAGAATGTTTTGTGCCCTGCTGTGTCTTCAGAGCTARTGCCTGCCCAAAAAATGCTAACCTGAAGACCAAAAGGCAGAAAAGCACAATGGCTGAGTGTTGTTACAGAGACTACTTCATGTACTGGGTTTATTCCAAGCAGGCAATGCAGAACCTGCATACCATCCATACTGACTCTCTTGCACCTTWTTGCTTGCCCAGGATCGTCATTCTTCTTGTCAGATTCCTCCACTGTGCCAGAACTGAAGCTGTGTCTTGGTTTTAAGTCCAGCTGGACATGAAACACCACACAGCCTCTCTCWCAACACCCAGTGGAATGGGAGGGAGAATCCAAGTAAAATTTTTATCTTGARAKAAGAACAGTTTAATAAYTGAAAGTAAATTAAAATAGAATAATAATGGTAAATAATGATAATGATAATAATGGTAGATAATGATAACGATAATAATAGCAATAATGATAGTAGCAAAGAAAAAAAACCTGAAGTAATGCACAATGTAATTGCTCACCATCTGCTGACAGATGCCAGCCAGACTTCCCTCCCCAAACCCAGATCAACCATCCTTCTGGGTAACTCCTCCAGTTYATATACTGCACATGTCACTCTATGGCGTGGAATATCCCTTTGGTCAGTTCAGATCGCCTGTCCCAGCTGTGCTCCCTCCCAGTTTATTAYGTGCATC